TAGATGTACGCCAGACCACGTCTCGCGTAACAGGCTTCGCGATATCTCACGAAACACTGTTACGCTGCGACGCGCCTGGCATACATCTACCTAGGCCTGCGGCGCTGACACCCGAGTCGGGCAAAAGGCAGAGTCGTAGATGGGCCTTCGGCTCCAAAGGACACAAATGTTACCCCCAGGACTTCATTTTGACGAGTTGCCCCACCAGAGTCCATCAAATGTCTAAGAAACAACATTGGTATATAAACAGGGGTAATTTTCAAGTGGAAATCGCCCTCTGGCGCCTCAACGGTTAGAGATAGAGCCAAACGGACGAAATTTTCGTGCTGAGGGGTCTACTTCGATGAGTTACCCCTTAGAAAACATTTAAAAAAATATTTTTTAAAAATGTCATTTTGGGGACCTGTGGTTTTTGATTTTTTAAAAATCCAATTTTTGAGCTAGAATGCTCTTCTTCGGACTTGATCTGTCTTTTTATGATACAAGACGACCCTGAAAATCCCAGGTCGCTAGCTCAATTCGTTCTCGAGTTATCGTGTGGACAGACAAACAGACACACAGACACACGGACAGACAGACAGACAGACGCGAAACTTTTTGATCATCACTGGAGTAATAGGCTTCGCTATCGCTCAGCCAATGAGGAAATGAGGAAAAACAAATGAAAATATCATAAAATTTTGCTAAAACCCCAGATGAAAAATCCCCGTACAAATCCACGTGTTTCTGAAGACTTTCTACTGGTTTTTGGCTGAGCGATCAGCGAAGCCCATTACTCCACTGACCGGAAAAGATTCATTCTGTTTGTTTGTCTGTCTGTCTGTCTGTTTGTCTGTCTGTCCGCACGATAACTCGATAAAGAATTGAGATAGCGACCTGGGATTTTCAGGGTCGTTTTGTCATAAAAAGACAGATCGAGTTCGAAAAGAAGGCCCAGAACCGCAAAAAAGGTAAGAAACTTCCTCCCCCCACCCCAAAAAACGTTTTCTAAGCAGAAGGGTGGGTTGTAGTCGCGGTGTTTCACCGTTACATCCCTTTCTCGTGTGTACGGGGCAAATTTTAAGGACGACGGGCTTTGCGGGCCGAAGACCCGTTACATCATTTGATTATGTTCTACAGCAAATTGCGTGACAGAAATGGTCGGGCCGCAGGCCCGACCATCGCCGCCGGCAGGCCGAGCAGGCCCGGCCCCTGCCGAACGGAGTTGCCGGCGCAGAGAAGCGAAGCTGGCACCTTCGTTTGGCGGAAGGGCGGGGCTGCTTGTTTCTCATAGTAGACTCAGAGCGTGCTGCGCCCTAGCGGCCGGAGCTGCAAGCAGCGCCACCGATCAGGCCTCGTCAACATTAGGCAACGACCATTGCAGTCGGGCCGACATACCGTAGATTGAATGGCGCGCCCCATTGCTTGCTTTCACCGCTCACTAGCGCACTCTACCCCGAGCTTCTCATATCGCCATCTCCATCCAAAAAGGAAAAATCCCACATTTTTTGAGGAAACCTCGAAATCTGAGGAGTTTTTATCAAACCAGGGGAGTTCCTCAAAGTTTTCTCCTTTCCCTCAAAATTATTTGGGTAAAAACGAGACATAGTTTTTACCTCACTGGTAATCTTGTCATTAAACGTGTGTTCAAAAAAATTAACTTTTTTTTACTTAAAGGTAAACACGAAAACTATACATTCTGAAAATAGACCAAAATTCAATCGACTCGATTTTTTTTGGACATACGTTCGTTGACACAATTACGAGTGACCTTACAGCGAATAATTTGGGAGTAGTCGACTAGTCTTCACCCTCTCAAAATCTAGCACTTATAACCGTCCTGATCATTCTTTATAAATATCTGTCTTAAGTATGAAGATAAATCACAATTCGAAGATTTTCTATATTTGTGGCGAGAATATTCTTTTGTTTGTTCTGAAAACTGTTTATTTTGCAGGTACCCTCTTTTTTCCGGTGCCCGGACCATATAAATAATGGACTAAGGGACATAATGGATATATTTGTTATCGACACAGGTCATATTGGACATGAAATGTTGGACGAACTTGTGATGGATGAAATCTATTTGACAAAACGTCCGGACACGCTTCATAGAAATCCCATTTTAAGTATCGTCTTCTCTTAGTGCCTAATGTAAGATATGTCATGTCCGATTAATAGTCAAACAACCTTACCTTGGACTCTCGACAGAACCCCAAAACTCTTAAGAGAATACTGATGCGAGGCCGACCATCCTTGGGATCTAGCGGGTCACCCAGAGCGAGAATCATTTGCCTGAGAAGTGACGCCAGAGGGCCGGTACAGTCGTCCATCTATAGAATCCGTTAGAAGGGAATAAGTTGGCTCATTAATAACCTAGAAATTGAGGTCCTACGTGGTCGCTCTGAAGGGCACAACTAAAATCAAAATGCGTGGTCGGGACGGTAGCCACATGTGTGGAAGACATGCACAAACAAGTAGGCCCGCCCTTCCGCCAAACGGAGTTGCCAACTCCACTTCGCTGCGCCAGCAACTCCGTGCGGCAGGGGCCGGGCCTGCCTGGCCTGCCGGCGGCGATGGTTGGCCTTCGGCCCGACCATTTCAGTCTCGCGATTTACCGAAGTACATAATCAAATAAATAGTGTGACCTGTAAATCACTTGCATATTTGAGTAAACTAACGCGTCCGATGGGAGGCCTGCGGCCCTAGAAATTTGCTCCCTGGACATGACAAAAGACTGTAACGGGGCAACACCGTGACTACACCCCACCCTTCTCCTTTGCTTCAGAATTAAAAAAAAAAAGAACCCGCGCAGATTGTATATTATAGATTGTTTATTGAGATTATGAAACAGTCTTAAATCTTGACTTTTTGAAATTGTTATCAATATATCCCACTCTAGCTCATAAACACAGACACACACAGACACACAGACAGACAGACAGACAGACATGAAACTTTTTGATCATCACTGGAGTAATAGGCTTCGCTATCGCTCAGCCAACAAAACTGACTACACCCTGTGGTAGTAGAAACCTGTGGGCGAAAATTTAGTCCGTTTTGCTCTATCTCGTACCGTTTGGGTGCTAGGAGGCATTTCTTGGCAAAAGTAAGGTGAAAACGACTAAATGGTCTATTAAGTCGTAACAGAGGAAGTAATATTGAAACCACACAGTTGATGTCGAACAACACCCTCCTTTAGGCTCAAGGGTCCCAAGATTATCTAGTATCACTACAACGTTGTTTTTACATAACAATTTGTTGAAATTCGAACCTTTAATGAAAACCGTTATGGAACAGCAGAAGTTTCATGTTTCATGTCCCTAATTTTCGAGTAATAAGTCCCCAACAAATGCTGTGAGTACATCAAATTTTGGGGCCGGAAGGCCGTGTTCCCGAATACCCTCCCAATAACTCGTCTCGGGTGTCAGCGCCTAGCCTAGCTATATGTGCGCCAGGCGCGTCGCAGCGTGACAGTGTTTCGTGAGATATCGCGAAGCCTGTTACGCGAGACGTGGTCTGGCGTACATATAGCTAGTATATTTGATCGAGGGGTAGAGGGGTAGGAAACAAAAATCCTACTTTTAGCAGCTTGGTTGGTTTTGAATCAGTTTTCAAATCTCTTTCCAATGGTGTGGTCAGTTTTGACCTCACTTCAAGGATTCATACAGTTTTACGTGTACTCCCTCTTAAATACGCAGTTTTTGCCTCAAAATTTTTGGTGTCTGTACTTCCTAATCCGTTGGAGCCAAAAAGCCCTAAATTGGAGTGGGGTCATACTTCATGAGTACCCTTTATTTTCTAGACAAAAACCAAAATCGGTTACCAGATCCGAAATCTTGGGTCGATTAGGTAACCATGACGTTTTAAGTACACCCCCCCCCCCAATTCCCTTCCTGCCCGCACAGTATCTCCCCGTGCGGGG